TACATACATTTTTTTGTTGTTGAATATAAAGATTAAAAAAATCGCTTTTAATTTTTACTGTAAGTTATGATATAATTATTGAATTAATTTTTTATTATAATAATTACATATTTTTTAATATACATTTAGACTGTACTATACATTTAATAATAATAATAATAATAATAATTTAATAAATATTGAAAAAACATTAAACTATTATATATTTGTTGATTTGATTAAACAATTATTATTATTATTTTATTTGATATTTTAAGATAAGATTATTTTACATAATAATATACAGTATTATAATAATTAGATTAGTTTTATTTATATTATTATTTTTTTGTTGTTGATAATAACTAATATAAATTTATGTTATGTATTATAAAAACAATATTATATTTACAATATTTATTAAATTATTATAATATTATAATTACATTTGATATTAATATCAAATAACWTGTTTAACATATATACTGTATATTTAGGTATTAATAAAATATTACTAATAAAACAAAATTTTATATATATATTGTATTATTGTAGTCATGTTTATAATACTATAATAATCATAGGATTTATTATTAAATTTAATAATTGCAATAAAACAACTATAAAAAAATAATATTTATATTATTATTCAAATAACAAACTAATACTAAAAATAATATTTAATTTAATATATATTTATATATATAACTAGTTTTTATAGTTGTTTATAAACTATTAGATAAATCACGTATTTTCAGAAACAATATGATAATCATAGCCATAATCTAACAAAAAAATAAATAAAAAAAATAAAATAAAATATTATTATTTATTATTAATAAATAAAAATAGATTTTTTTTTAATTAACATATATATATATATATATAATATAATATATAATATTTAAATATATAGGAAATATACTGTACCTCAAAACCTCTATTATTATTTATAATAAATATTAGCCAACAATAAAATCCGACATTTTTTTCGGCAATTAATTAATTTAATATATATGTATATATATATATATATATATATATATATATATATTAATTAATTAATTATATTAATTTCAAAAAAAAATAATTTATTTAATTATATATATATTAAAGATCAAAAATAAAAATTTATATAAAAAATAATTWAATAATAAATAATACATACTTTAAATTTAACTGATAATTGAATTTTTGAAAAATAATCAAGTCCAATTAATGAATATAATAGTTGATAGGATTTATTAGATTCAGTATAAATTTTTCCGGAAATATAGATAATAAAACATAAAACAGATAAATATTGTACAGTAAAACCTGTTAACATTAGTCTAACAACTAATTGCGTTTGACTATAGATAATCAAATAGGTATTAATTGTAGTCATTGTACTCAACGATAGCCAAATTGTTGCCAAATATTTTGAATAATACCGGCGATTATAATCGGAAATTTCCCGATAAATTTCCAATAATTTTCCTACTAATTGAGGAATATTATAAAAATTTTTAGCTTGAAGCAATTTTGTTTTAATTTGATAATTAATTGCGATTAATTTTTTATCTAAATAATAAGTTAGTATATAATAGTATACTGTTTGATAGGACATCAGGTTTATTAGATACCTGACCCAAATCGACCAGAGCCCTGCATGTACTAGGCTATAGGTTAGTAATAAATAATTAAAATTTTGACCATGATAATGATAATAATAATTTAATTTTGTTGAATAGCTAATAAATACAATTGAATAGGTTATTAGCATAAATAACCTAGTTGATATATTCAATAATTTAAATGATCTAGTACATAGTTTATGTAGTGATTGAAATAATTTTCGGTTATTATTATTATTATTATTATCGACAGTAATATCTATACCAATACTGGCCGGGGATTGATAGCCTGATAATGTATAAAATAGTCKCATATCTACCGGTTCTCTACCATTAGGTACTACTAATAGATAGTTATACCAATTGATGGCAATCAGGGATAGGCATAGCATAGTAGCTATTGAACAAACTGTGTTAACTAGGATACCGGTGCCCATAAAATAGTCAATATTGCCCCAGGCTAGATGATAGCTAAGTGGTTGTCCCGGGGACGGGTAGCTAATAAACCATAGACAACGCAGTAGGATATGTAGCAAATATATGGTTATAACCAATGGATGATCGTATAGTTGRCGTTTAATTTGATTGGTGGGGGAGGGGGGTCTAAATGGTGACAGTCCTATACGATACAGGTGACTATCGGCCCAGGGCACCTGTAGGTCCAATGGTAATTGTAATAATAATAATTTTGGTTGTTGTTGTTGTTGAAAATTATCTGGATCAATTTTTGCCATAATAATAGACTTATAATAAAAATAAATATTTTATATTTAATAATTACAATTTTTTTTATATATAAAAAAATTATTGCTTAATATAATCTTATATTAATATATATATATATATAAATACAAACATTAATTATATATATATATATATATATATTAACTTTAATTAGATTATTGTATATACCTGTATATTGATTATTACCTATACCTGGCTATATATAAGTACAGTACATAATCATTAAAAGAGCATTTTATTTATAATAATAATAATAATAATAGTTATTATTATTATAATAATTATAATTATGATCTGTATTGTGAACTTAAACAGTATATACTTTATATACTATATATAATACTAATTATTGTAAAAAAATAATTATAATTAAAAAAACTAAACTAAAATAAAAACAACTTAAATTAGATTATAATAATGTTTTAATTCTATTGATATATTATATATTATATATATATATTTATATATATATATATATATATATTATAATTATATATATATAACATATAATATGTTTTATGTTATAAATATTATTATTTTGATAATAATAATTATTATTWATTTATTAGTTTATTTGCACAATAAATGTATAGATAAATAAAACAAAAATAAAATTGAATAATAATAATAGTAACTAAATTCAATATTAAATTACAATTTATTTTTTGTTATATATATATAAAAAATTTAAATTATATTATATAAAATTAAATTTCTAATTATAGTAAACTTTAACTATTTAATGTCATATATATATATAACAAATTATTAATATATATATATAACAAATAAATATAAATCGTTTGTAATTTATTATTATTAATAATAATAATTTTTTTATATTTATTGTTGTTGTTTTCATCATAGCATTATTATAATAAAAAATATTTTATTATTTTAGTTTAGTAGTAAATAAATAAAAAATTATATTTTATAATAAATAAATAAATAAATAATAGTACATTAAATTTTTGATTAATTAAAATAAAAATAATAGTATTATATATTAAAATAATATTAATTAATTAATTATTGTAGTTAATTAATTAATTATTTTTTTTAATTATTTAAAAATTTTATGTATTATTAATTAAATTAATTTATTATAAAATATAATTTTAATTTAGTTAAAATAAATTATTGTTGTTAATTAATTGATTAATAAATTAATTTTMGTTAACTATCTGAGCACAGTTGGCCATTGATGGCAAACTGGTCGACTGGATAGTCGATAAATTGTATGAAAAAGTTAGGGACACCCAACACGTCCCGTACGTATTGGCTTAGCTCACGTGCGACCATACGATTAGCGGCAGCACTGGTAGTTACGCCATCCATACTGCCCACTATAGCGTAGGCCCTGTGCTCAGTACTGTTGGCTATAATWATAATAATAATTAAAATGATTTAATAATAATAATAATTAAAATGATTTAATAATAATAATAATTAAAATGATTTAATAATAATAATTAAAATGATTTAATAATAATAATTAAAATGATTTAATAATAATAATTAAAATGATTTAATAATAATAATTAAAATGATTTAATAATAATAATTAAAATGATTTAATAATAATAATTAAAATGATTTAATAATTATAATTAAAATGATTTAATAATAATAATAATTAAAATGATTTAATAATAATAAATTAAAATGATTTAATAATAATATTAATTTAATAAAGAAAATAATAAATTATTTATAAAATTAATTTTTTACTAATTAATTAATTAAGTAAATTTACCTGTATAAATTATCTGATCGGTTACTAGATGGATCGATATACTAGACAATGGCTTACTAGGTATTACCTTGGTCAATAGGATGGCCATTTTTTCTAGAAAATCATCAGGTACCAAATTTTTCGGTAAGGTAGTATAGAATTGTACATGTGGCATTTTTTAAAATTAAGTTATAATTATTGTTTTTTAAAAAAAAAATAATTTTTATACAAAAACAAATAAATTTTATAATAATAAATAAATATTTTTTTATTAATTATATTTTGAGTAAAAAAAATAAATGATATAAACTTATTGTTTTTTTTACTGTTATTAATATTAATATATAAATATATATATGTATATTACCTGTAAATACATATTAATATTAACTGTATTTGTTTATTATTAAAAAATAAGTTATTTAAACTATTTTGTATATATCATTGTTAGTAAGCAATATTTTTATTTTTTATTTTACAAACTGTACATGATAAATTTTGTATGAAAATCTAATAGATATAATATTTTTTATTTCATATTACATTAGATGTGAAACACCTTAATATTTTTTTTTGTAAAATAGTGTAATTTTTGGAAAATAGTGTAATTTTTGGAAAATAGTGGAATTTTGTGGAAAAATGTGTAGTTTTATTAAAATATTGGAATTTTAGAAAAATAGTGTAATTTTAGTTTAAAAGTGTAATTTTAGGAAAATAGTTATAAAAAACAACTACAGCACCAAAAAATAACATACATTTTTAGTAAATTTTTTTTCTATTAATAAACTAAAGTCTAAAAACAATTATAATTAAAAAAAAATATTCTAAAAATATTATTATTAATAAATTAATAATCAATTTACTGATTTTTATTATTAATATTTTACAAATAATTAATTCAAAAAATAAATAAATTTTAAAAATAGTAAATTTTTGTCAAACAATTTTATTCAAAAAAAAAAATTATTATTTATTTTTCTATAAATTTTTTTTTATTTTTTACGGTTTGGTTTCGGTTTGGTTACCAAAAAATTGCTCTTTTCCTTCAATGAGTAAATCGTGAAATATTTTCCCGTTTACACCGTACATGTCTTTCGGTAGATCAGTAAAAAACATACGAAATTCCTGCGGACTGATACCCAATTCCTGTTGGACGTGATCGGCCAGTACGGGCATTGTTCGCCTATTGTCCTCAAGGGTTACGCCACCGATAGTACGTAAAACACCGTAAGCTTTCGGTTGATTGTTGTCGGGATCGGTACCTAAAAAAACAAATTTGTTTATATAAAATAATATATAATCTCATAATTAATTAATAATTATAATCAATAAATAATTTTTTTTAAAATAAGTTTTGTACAAAAAATAATTATTTAAATATCATAATAAATAATTACTTATTATTTTTATTAATAATTAAAAAAAATTAATAAAATACTACTAAAAAATAGCTAAAAATACAAAAAAATAAATAAATATTATATATTGTATAATTATTCAATAAAAAAACATTTAAAATATAGCAATTAATATATATATATATATATTTAAAATATTAATAATTATTTATATACATATTTTTATTATTATTATTATTAATAAATATAATTTTAAACATTTAATTTTTTTTGACTGTATGTAAACTATTTAAAAATTTCTAAAAAATAAATAAATAAATATATTGAAAATATATATATAAATTTACCTGTATAAATATTTTGATCGGTAACCAAGTGTACACATATACGTTGCAATTGTTTATTGGGTAGCACCTGGTATAGTACCTTGGCCAATTTTGGTTGAAAATCAATGGGTATTTTTGATGCCGGTAATGTTGTATAAAATTCTAGCCAGGGCATTTTTATATTGTTGTTTTTTTAACTATAATTTTAACTAAAAATTAGAAATAAATAATATTTTTAAAATAAAATATCTAATATTACTAAATGTTTTTGTAATGTAATTAATTTATATACAAAAAATAATTTGATTTAATGTAAATAATAATTGCTATAAAAATTTTAATATCAATATTATCAATGTCCTTCAAAAATATTAAATTTATAGATTATTTAATTGATGATAATATTTATAAAAATATTATTTATTACATTTACTTGATATATATATCAATAAGATATAAATATTATATGTAATGTAAGTTTATTAATAATAAAATACTAATAATAATTTTTTCTACTATTTTTAGTTTTTTATAACAATTTTTTTATTATTTTCAAAAAAGCTATTATATATATATATACATAATATATACGTATTTTTATCTATCATTTGATAGATAATTAAGTTTATTATGTTATCAGTGCTTATTTAGTACACATTTTTTTTGGTTAATAATTTTATTAAATTAACAACAAAAAAAAAGAATAATTTAATTTTATAAAACCAATTATTATTAACTATTAATACATAAAAAATTAATTCATATAAGTAATGAAAATAATTTTTAATTATAATATTACAGTTTTGTAATTAAAAAAAATACAAAAAAAACATATATTAATACAACTATTATTTTATATGTTATTATTTGATGATTAGATAATAACAATATATATATAATATTTATATTTTTTTAAAACATCTAGGCATTTTTATATTAAAAATAATAATAATAATTTTAATAATTAATTAATTTATTATTATTATTATTGTTTGTTTGTTTGTTATAAAATTGTTTTTTATTGTTTAAATAATTTAATCGTAATTTTTTTCTAAAAAAATATATTAATGAGTATTTTATATAAATTAATTAAAGTAAAAATATTTTATTTCTACACTTACAGTATATTATACTATTACTAAAATAATTTCCTGATTTTTTTAAAAAAAATAAAAGTTAAAATTATTTTTAAAACTACTTAAAACATAATAATATATTATTATTATATTAAGTAAAAAGTAGATTATTAGTATTGTTTTTTAGATATAATTTATACAATAAAATACTAATAAAAAAATATTTTATTAAGTTATTAAAAAATAATTTTTTAAAATTAAATAACAATTTTGTCTATAGTATTTAAAAAATTACTCATTTTATATTATTAGAAATTATAATAAAAATAATATATTAAATATAATATTGAAATTATTGTTAAACTTATAGAAAAAATAATTATATATAATATATATATAAATATATATTTAGTATTCACAGTTAATAATTTTTAAAAACAAAATTATTATGCAATAAAACTAAATTTATTAATTAATTAAATAAAATTTACGTAAATCTATATTTAAAAAAAATTATTATATAAAAAAAACTCAAACTACAGATGTTTTTTTTTTAAATGATTAGCAAATAATTTTCAATAAAAAAAATTTAAAACTATTAAAAAAAAATTAATTTAGTATTAAATAAAAAAATTTACACCATTTTTCTTTACAACGAAAAAAAAAATAATTAATTGATTGTTAAAAAAATTTTGAATATAAAAATCAATAATTAATTTTATTTTCGGGCGAAACTAAACTATAAAAAACTACAATCAATTGATAATAATAATAATAATGACTAGCATTGCCAAACCCATACAGTTATTGTCTATATTGTCGGTCATATCCATACTGTTTGTTTGGACGATGACTACTGTCCAGCCTATCAGTGCCGGCACCGGTCCTAAAGAGTTTACATCGAGCAGTGGCCGCCATTTTGTGGCCGTCGATATCAAGTCACCCGATGTCCTCCAAGCTCTGCAAGCAGTCATGACTGCCGGTACAGTACCGGCAATGTCCGACCCGAACTGGCACAACGGTTTGGTATCCATCTATGATTGCTATCTGCATACCAGTCCCGAACTGACCCGCTATTTGCTAACCTTACGATTGTATGGCTATCACAAATGTACCGAAACTGATGGCCCGAATGTTCATCGGACGGACAAAGGATGTTTACATGTAATTTTGAAATTTTTAATTATATTTTTTAATTACTAATTAATTAATTTAAAATTTTTAGTTTTTTTTTATTTTAAATATAATAAAAATAAATACAACAGGTAGGTATAGTATATTGATTGTGTATGTATATGTGTGTGTATGTAGGTATGTGTGGATGTATGTATGGATGTGTGGATTTATGTAGGTATGTCTGTGTGTGTTTGTTTGTATGTGTGGATGTATGTATGTATGTATGTATGTATGTATGTATGTGTGGATGTATGTATGTATGTATGTATGTATGTATGTATGTATGTGTGGATGTATGTATGTATGTATGTATATATGTATGTATGTATGTATGTATGTATGTAAATATGTATGTATGTATGTATATATGTATGTATGTATGTATGTATGTATGTGTGGATGTATGTAGGTAAGTGTGTGTGTGTGTGTGTGTGTGTAGTTATGTATGTGTGTATTTTTATGTATATATATATATGTTTGTGTACGTGAGTATGTGTTTGTTTGTATGTGTATCTACTAATTAGGTATTTTGTGTAATTTAAAAAATTCAATCAATTAATTTGCTAATAATAATAATAATAATAATACTTAATAGTATTAAGGAATTATTTTTTATTTATTTATCTTATTTTTAATTTCTTTTTAGTTTTTTTTTCTTAAATAATTTTAATAATTCTAAAATAATTTTATATAAATATTTTTTTTATTAATTAGTTAATTAATTATTTTGTTTGTTTAAATTTTTTTTTTTTAAAAATAAATAGCCAGCAACTGATTGTACCACAAATATTATGAAACAGGGATCGGACTATAAATACGAGACCATGAGCTGCGCACCGGCAGTTGTTTATAACTAACAATGAAAATAAATAATTTGAAAAATAAATAAATAAATACTAATTTAAAATTTTTTTTTTAACAACAACAACAACAAAATTTTCAAATAATTCAAAACCAAAAAATTTTATTACAAAACTGTTTTTATTTTAAATTATAAATTACTGTTTAAATAAAGATTAACAAAATTATTAAATAAATTGCATTAAATTTTATTTAAAAAAAAATATTAATTTTTTTTGAACAAAAAGTATTCTCTAATATTATTTAATCTTATTTTTTCTTAAATTTTTTAATTACAAAATTATATGTTTAAAAAAAATATATTAACTATCCTTAATTTTTTCATAGAAAATAGTTTTAATTATTTTTAATTTTTTATTGAAAATATTTTTAATATTTTAGTATAGATTAAAATTAATTTGTTTTTTTAACAACAACAACAACAAAATTTTCAAATAATTCAAAACCAAAAATTTTTATTACAAAACTGTTTTTATTTTAAATTATAAATTACTGTTTAAATAAAGATTAACAAAATTATTAAATAAATTGCATTAAATTTTATTTAAAAAAAAAATATTAATTTTTTTTTGAACAAAAAATATTCTCTACTATTATTTAATCTTATTTTTTCTTAAAGTTTTTAATTACAAAATTATATATTTTTAAAAAAATATATATATTAACTATCCTTAATTTTTTTTTCATAGAAAATAGTTTTAATATTTTAGTTTAGATTAAAATTAATTTGTTTTTGTTTTTATAATCCATGATCTTTGGCTATTTTGCCATTAAATGCGGCCAAATTGGGATCCAAGTCCATGAAAAACAACCGAAACTGACTGACACTGACCCCGAGCTCCCGGTGCACGTGTTGGGCTAATTCGTCAATTGTATGCCGATTATCCTCGGGTCGGACACTACCTATACTACGGAGTACGCCGTAAGCGTTAGGTTCAGTGCCGTTAGGATCACTACCTGTATAGACAACCAAATTAATTAATTAATTAATTAATTAATTCAACTAGCTAATTAATTTAATTTAATTATATTTATTTTATTTTTAATGTTTATTGATAATAAATAATAATAATAATAGTAATAATAATAATAATAATAATAATAGTAATTAGTAATAATAATAGTAATAATAATAGTAATAATAATATTAGTAATAATAATAGTAATAATAATATTAATAATAATAGTAATAATAATAGTAATAATAATATTAATAATAATAGTAATAATAATAGAATTAAATTAAGTAATTAACATTAAAGTTGTTAGAAAATAACTAACCCATTTAACTAAACTAGTTAACTAATAATAACTAAATAATTATTAAATTATATTTATAATAATCTTTAAAATTTTATCTAGCTTAATTTATTAAAAAAAAAATAATATTATTATTATTGTAAATATTTTTTTTTTGATTGTGTATTCAAAAAATATTTTTTTCTAAAAAAATTTTATAACTATTTTCTAAAAAAATAATAAAAACTAATAATAACTATTTCAATAAAATAATACAATACTGTATTAATAGCTAATTACTTATATTTTTTTGGAAACTTTTTATCAATTTTTTTAAAAATTAAAAAATTAAAATTACCAGTGTAGATATCTTGATCAGTAAATAGATGGACAGTTATCCGCTCCAATGGCTTATCCCTGAGCACCTGGGTCAATACTTGGGCAGTTTTTTGTTTAAAATCACTGGGTACTTTATTACGAGGCAATGTTGTATAAAATTGTAAAAATGGCATTTTATTTTTTGGTTTTAGTTATTTAATTAAACAAAAAAAAAATAAAATTAAATAATTTATTATTTAATAAAATCAAAAATAATTAATATAAAACTAAAATTTTTGTTAAATTAATTTTTTTGAATGAAAATTAACTGTAAATTATTAAATCAATTTAATCAATTAAATACTAAATTAAAAATATATATATATATAATTTATTTTAAAAATTTTATTTAAGTTTATATAATTTCGGTACACATTTAATCAGTTTAATGATTAAAACTCAAAAAGTAATTGTAATTAATTTTACTGATAATTATTACAGACATACAGTATATCTACTAATATCTACTATATATATATATATTATTGATATAATATGTTTTCAATCAATAATATGACACAAAACATATAAAAATATATTTAATTGAAATTTTTTTATGACCTTCACATTTAGTTTAGATATATATTATTTTTTAATTATTGATAACTTACTATTTATAAATATATATATATATATATATATTAAAACTAATGTAAAAAATATAGTATTAATTAACTAAAAAAAAACATTATTTAAAAACTAAATTAAATATCCCTTTAATAGTCGTTAAGTTTAATTAATATTAATATTATAATTGTATAATTCAATAATAATTATAATTAATAATAATAAATACAAATTAATTATTATACAATGTCAAACAATAATAAGTTTAAAAAACAACAATTAAAAAAAACAATTAAATAAATTGCATAAAATATTTTATAATTATTAATTATTTTAAAAAATTGTGTTTATAAAATTATTTAGGACAACATTAATCATCATGTTAGTTTTTTTAAAAATAAAATATTTTAATATTATAGTTAAGTTTTTTCACTATAAATATAAATAATTATTATGACTAAAACTTAATTAATTATCAACAAAATAATTTATTGTTTATTTTGATTTTTTTTTTAATTTAACATTAAATAAATTGTATTAAATATTCTGTAATATTAATTAATTATTATAATTATTATTTTAATTTATATTTTTTAAATTACAAAATTAATATTTAATACAAATACAAGTTATACTAAGTTTTATTTAGAAATTAGTTTAATATTTAAGTTTTAATTAAATATTTATTTTTTATAATCCATGATCTTTGCCTAGTTTGCCCTTATATCCAATCATATTGGGATCGACATCCAGGAAAAACAAAATAAATTTACCGACACTAACCCCCAGCTCCCGTTTGACGTGTTGGGCTAACTCGTCAATTGTTAGCCTATTATCCTCGGGTCGGACACTACCTATACTACGGAGTATACCGTAAGCATTGGGTTCATTGCCGTTGGGATCACTACCTGTAAAATAGAAATAATTAAAAATTAATTAACTAATTAATTAAATTAATTATTTTTGTTTTAAATAATATTGAAAAAATGTTGCTTGCTAACAAAAATAAAATACAAATAAATTTATAACTATTACTAGAATTATTATATATATCATATATAAAACAAATAAAAATTACTAAATTATATTTATATTATTATAAATATAATTTTACCAAAAATTTTAACTAGCTTAATATTATTTAGTATTATTTTTTTTTAAAATAATACTACTATTATTCTAAATAATTTTTATTGTATATTTTATTTTTTTAAAAATATAAAATCAACAAAATAAAAAAAAATTACAAAAAAATAATACAATATTACTGTATTATTAATATAGTTAATTGAAATTATTTTTTTTAAATAAATAATTAATAATTTTAAAAAAAAGTAAAATTACTATTGTAGATATCTTGATCAGTAAATAGATGGACAGTTATTGTTTCCAATGGCTTATCCCTGAGCACCTGGGTCAATAGTTGGCAAGTTTTTTGTTTAAAATCACTGGGTACTTTATTACGAGGTAATGTTGTATACAATTGTAAAATAGGCATATTTTGTTGTATTTATATTTAAACAAAAAAAAAATTATAAAATAATAATAACTTATTTATAATACAAAAAAATGTTCAAAAATTTTTTTTAGTCGAAAAAAACGATTTTTTTAGTTAATAAAAATAATAATAATTTTTTTTAAATAGTAATCACTATTTTTTCTATTCAATCAAAAAATTAACTGTAAATTATTTATTTCAATAATAATATATAATTACGAAACAAAACAAAACAAAAAATACTAAATATTTAATAATTATAACGATTTTTATATATTGTATTCAAGTTTAATCAGTTTAATGATTAAAAATAAAATATTTAATTCATTGATTTAATTTTACTGATAATAATTACAGTCATATATCTACTAATATATATATGTCATTGATTTATAATATGTTTTTTAATCAATAATATATGACAAAACTTTTACTAAACTATATTTAATTTATAAAAAAAAAATTTTGTTGATGTCCTTCACATTTTAGTTTAATATATATATAATTAGTTTAAAATATTGATAAATTATTATATATTTTTAAAAATGTAATAAAAATGTTTCTAGTAGTCAGTAATTATTTTTTTATTAACTATTATTATTAAAATATAATTAATTTTAAAATAAATATTTTGTTATTGTTATTGATTTTTTTATATAACAGTAGTTACTTATATTTATTTACAGATTATTATTATTATTATTATTATTATTATTATTATTATTATTATTATTATTATTATTATTATTATTATTATTATTATTATTATTTAATTTTAATATTTATATTTAAAAATTGATTACACATAAAATTACATTTTTTTAAATAGTTCCAAGTAACAATAAAATATTATATAAGTTTATTATAAAAGTGACTAGGTTAAATAGTAATTATTATTTTAATAAATTCAGCAATAATAGACTACAATAACAATTTATTAATTACTAATAATATTTCCTAGTATTAGTATAACTGTATATTATTATTATTTAACAGTATATAAATTTTAGTCATAGTTATAGTTAACATTAAATTACTGAATAGTATTGAAAATATTTATTAATTAAATTAAATTTATTTAAAAAAAATAAAATTAGTTAAATAATTATATATATATACAGTCGATGACAAAATTGATGAACGAGGTTTTTTGTGTATATCTTTAGAATGGAAATGAACTAGAACAAAAAAAATTTTTTGCTACTATTATTTATTGGGACGGTCAGTTTGGTATTGCCACTTTTTTTGTAATTGGGCACAGGTATGCAAGGACAGGGATGGTCAATATCTCGAAAACTATAATAGATATTAAAGTTTTATAAATTGCTAATTATACTAAATCTGATAATATTGGACACGTGTTTTGGCATTTTTAATTTTATTGCAAAGTATTCAAACAAAATTAATTTTTTTGTTGCAAAAATCAAAATTTAAGAGACCATATCTTTTAAACGCATCATTATATCATGATTTAGTTAATTGATTTAAATTCTATATTTTAGTACTAACAATTCATCTATACATTAAATTTAGTTAGCTTGTTTAGTTTTTTAAATATTTGTAAATTAATTTTTTTCTATTGTAATTAAGTACTAATTATTGTCTTCTATTACATAACATTGATAACAAAATCTATAAATAATTACAATAGAAAAAAATTAATTTACAAATATTTAAAAAACTAAACAAGCTAACTAAATTTAATGTATAGATGAATTGTTAGTACTAAAATATAGAATTTAAATCAATTAACTAAATCATGATATAATGATGCGTTTAAAAGATATGGTCTCTTAAATTTTGATTTTTGCAACAAAAAAATTAATTTTGTTTGAATACTTTGCAATAAAATTAAAAATGCCAAAACACGTGTCCAATATTATCAGATTTAGTATAATTAGCAATTTATAAAACTTTAATATCTATTATAGTTTTCGAGATATTGACCATCCCTGTCCTTGCATACCTGTGCCCAATTACAAAAAAAGTGGCAATACCAAACTGACCGTCCCAATAAATAATAGTAGCAAAAATTTTTTTTTGTTCTAGTTCATTTCCATTCTAAAGATATACACAAAAAACCTCGTTCATCAATTTTGTCATCGACTGTATATGTATGTATCTAAATATACAGTATATCAGATATAATAGACGCCATGGCCTACAAAATTGTAACAACTATTTTATTAGTTTTAATCGGTAATTATATATTTAAAAAAAATATTTTATTTATTTTTTAAATAAAACAATTTTTCATTTAAATTAATTATTATTTTATTTTGTTTGTTATTATATTTTGAAAATAATAATTTTGATTATATTATAATTATTATTATAGCTGTGAGCACTGTTAGCCTAAATAGTGCCGATGCCTTACCCATTGATGATAATTATGTTGGTGGCGGTGGTGTTGTAGCCAACAACAAACTACCGGTGCTTTTAACGACCGGTGCTTATTCACTAACATTTGATACACTAGTGTCGGGTTTCAAACAATTGTTGGCTACACTATTTGGACCCATTGTTTTGCTAACATTTTTCTCAATACCCCTATTAGGTATACCCATAATTGGCAAACTACTAGAACCCCTGTTTTCTATAGTTGTATTAATTATTCAATTTTTTTTGACTTATATTCATATTACTAACAACAACAACAAATTAATTAAAAAATAATAAAAAAAATTTGATTTATTTTTCATAATAAAATAATGATATTAATATTCAATTTTTTTTTGTTAAATATGTATTTTTTTGCAATTAAACGATATATTGTATAATGACCATGATTATCTTAATAATAATAAAATTTAATTTTTAAAAATAAAATTTTATATTTAATATTTGATTTTTTTTAAATATTTTTATATATAAATTCAAAAAATAAAAATTTATTTAATTAATTAATAAAATTTTCAAATTTAACAATAATATATTTGAAATAAAATCAAGTATAATTCATTAATAATTTGAATATTTAATTAATTAATTACAAATAAAAACTATTGATTAAACATTTTTTTCATATAAATCTGTATAAATTATATAAATTAATACTTTATTAAGAAATATTATTTATTTAAAACAATTAATGTGACTAGTTTAAATTATTAAAAAAATAAATAATAATTAATCAATATAACTGTATATAATTATTATAAATTAAGTAATTAAATTATATTATATGTAATTAAATTAAATATAATCAAAATTTTAAAAACATTTACTATTTAAGTTTTATTTTTTATATTGTTTATTAAATTTTAAAAATTAAAAATTTTATTTTTGTTTATAAAAATGAATAATAATTTAAAACAAATAAATTGATTTCTTGATTTGATTAAAATAATAAAATATTAGTGTTTAAAAAAATATTGTAAAAATAAGTTTAAAATTAAAACATAATTTTTAAACACCAATTATATAATTATTTTTTTTGTTGTTGAAATTATAAAATTTAAAATATTATTTTTAATAAAAAGCAATAATAACCAAACTAATATGGTATTATTTATTTTTCTTATTTTTATCTTGATTATTTTTTGGTGCTGGCGACCCGGGTAAGGGATTGGGAACCGTATAGACAATAGGATTGTCGATTAGGAGCAAAAAATCGTCGACCAGTTCCAGTTCCCAATTGTTGGCCAGTTTACCGTCGGCCGTATAGAATACAATGACCACCCGGAGCTTAGTAGGTCGGGTACTTGTAGTACTATTATCATACATGAGCCTAACATGATAGTCAACATAGCCATAGGGATATCGGTGCAAAAACTGGCTAATCGAGCGCTCAATTACACGAAACGATCCACGATTTATAGTAGGGTTCTGTGGGAACAGGTTTTCAAACAAACGGCCGCCCAATAGGGCACCGATTATGTGGCCGGCATCGTCACCGGGTAAACCTAGTTATATATATATTTAACAAAAATAAATCAAATAAATTAATATACTATATTTATATATATATACTAGTATAAAAACAAATATTAAATTATATTGCCAATTGTGTATAATTTGATATAATTAAAAATAAAAAATTGTCTATATTAATTAATTATCAATTAATTTAAAAATAAGATATATAGAATTTTTAAGTAATATAGTTATTACTACAAAAAAATATTTTTTTAAAAAAGTAATAAAAATTAATCTGTATTAATTAATATAAAATAAAAAATAAAAAATAAAAACATTAAAAATATTTTACCTAATTTTTGAATTAGTTTACGATATCTATCGTTAACCTCCCAACCGGTACCAATATCGCCCAGATAGATTTTAGCATGTACATAATCAACGACAATTTGTTGACCACTACTAACCTCATGAGTGGCAATCTCACGGACCGGACCTCTCAATTCCCGACCATCAGCAGCCCGAACATCCCGAATCCTATCCCTAATATCATGTCTAATCGATTCGATGGTATCGGCAATTGTAGACAATTGGTCCGAATCTATGAAATCGATTCGGTCGACCAATTTGGCCAATTCTTCAGATTCTTCCTCCAAATCTTCTTCATCTAAATCTTGTTCGTGTTTTGTCTGTTTTTTCCGGCGTTTTGATGGGTCGTTATCGTCACCACCACCACCACTACCTGTGCCGCCATTGTTTGTATCAGTAGTAGTAGTAGTAGTAGTAGTAGTAGTAGTATTAGAATTATTATTATTTCCCGACGATGATGAGGTACCGGCACCAGTTTCCACAGCACCGGTAGATTTACTTGTATTTTTAACGTAACCACCTTTTTTTAAACCCAATTTTTAATGAGTGATTTGATGAATATATTTAAGAAAAAATTGATTTTCATTTATTAAATAAAAAATAATATAATATTAATAATAATATTAATACCTTTTTCTGCTGAATATTTAACTTCTAGAATTTGTAAAAATAAAAATTAAATAAATTTAAATATATATATATATATAGTTTTTTGTATAAAAATTTGTTTTAAAAAATCATATTTAATTTATTAATTTATATATAGATACAGTATATATATAAAATCTAAATTACCGTTTAGTTTATTATATTGTTGTTGCAGATCATTGGCTTTTTTCATATAATCCCCTGATTTCATACTGTCCTTGGCATTTTCCAATTTATCAAATTCGGCCATTACTATTTTATTTATTTTTTAAAGAAATATATAAAATAAATATGGTTAATTATTATCTAAATTTATATTTTAATTTTAAAATAAAAATATATAAAATATAAAAAAATTTAATAATTTTATTTAATCTTAAACTAACAAACTCTTTCTCTCTTTCTCTTTTTCTTTCTCTCTATGTCTGTCTCTCTCTTTCTCACTCTATCTCTATCTCTCTCTCTCTCTCTCTCTCTATGTCTGTCTCTCTCTCTCTCTCTCWCTCTCTCTCTCTCTCTCTCTCTCTCTCTCTAGACATCTAGACTCTCTAGAGAGAGAGAGAGAGAGAGAGAGAGAGAGAGAGAGAGAGAGATAGAGTGAGAAAGAGAGAGACAGACATAGAGAGAGAAAGAGAGAGAGAGAGACAGACATAGAGTATAGAATATATATATATATATATATCTTAAAATGTCTCACTATATACAGTATATAATAATAATAATATATTTAAAAAAAACCTTTATTTTGTGCCACATTTTTGCCAATACGATCCACCAATCGGCCGGCACCCAAACCGGTCAGACCATCGGAAACGGGCATCAGAGTCAAATCAAACAGATCGCCCGCATTCGGATTATTTATAGCATTATCAATGGCGGCCACATAGCCGCTCGGCTTATCCGTAACCGCTGTTGTCAATACATCAGTATAGGCACCGCCTGTTATACCGCCGGCAACCGCGCCGACCGGACCGCCCAAAACAAACCCGCAAACACCGCCGGCAGCCACTCCAGTCGTTCGGGTGGCCGATCGCATGGCCTGATTGCCGCCCTCCTGATCGCCGCAAGCGTAATGTACCAGTCCTTTACAGTGGCCGACTACCGGTACGCCGTCGGCAATGTTCGATACATTACGGACGCAACGTTTCTGGGTTTCCAGTGCACCGTCCGGATCGCCGGCAATCAATTGGACTACTGATGTTGCCTATACAGGTAGTAGTAATAATAATTGTACAATAAATTAGCATGGTTAATTTATTTGTTAAAAATTATATATATTAATAGTGTTTTATTTTAAAAAATATAGCAATTATTAAAATAATTTAGTTAAATAAGCTAGATTAGTTTTGAATATACTGTATATATATATATTATTAACAATTTTTAAAATAATATATAGATATTTAATTTATTTTTATAAATGTGAAAAATAGCAATTATTTTTTTTAATTTGATTTTATTTATTTATTTATTTTTTTTATAAAAATTTATATTAATAAATATAACTATTTTTTTTAATAAAATTAAAATAATAATAATTTATTAACATTTGTTTAGTGATTTCTATTTTTTCAAGTTATAGTAAGTATATATATATACAGTATATAATATAATACTATAAATAATTATATATATTTATTTTATTTATCTATCATTACCTGCGATATAACGGGAGTATTGCGTAAAAAATTTTCCTGAGTCCGGGCGGCACCCTCTGTGTCGCCGGCAATCAATTGGACACCCGATTTGACCTGAGATACTACCGGTATTGAATCGGTTGCACCCATACCCTACCCTAACCCTAACAACAAGTTTAATATATTTAATTTAAATATTTTTTTAAAAATTATTTTATAAAATAACAAAAATTATTTACAACAACAACAACAAACCCAATAACAATAATAATTAGTTTAATTTATTATAAATTTTTTTTTTTAAATATATGTATAAACTTTAATAAATGTTTATATAGTTAAATTAATATAATAGAAAATTATCCTAGGTATTAACTAGCAATAATAATAATAATAATAATTAATAATGATAACAATAGACATAATTAAAAAACTAAATAAAAATATTAATTATTTATTTTTTGTTTATTAAATATATATCAAAAAACAAACATTTATAAAATTATTATTTAAAAAATAACTTACTTTTAATTTATATATAATTTTTTTTGGCTAAATTGTTAACTGTTTGAAATAAAATAAAATATTTAAAATTAATAAAACAACAATCTTTATAAACTAAAAATTATTTTAATAATAATTATTATTTTGTTTTGTTTTTAGTAGAAAACTTGGATTCATATATATATATATATATATATATATATATATATATATTTCAAAAATATTTATATTGAATACTAATATATAGTTATAATAATTTTTTATTTTATTACACTATTAAAAATATGATAAGTAAAATTTTTAGTTTTTTTTTAAAAATACATGATGCAATTATGATAATATCTAAAAAACACACATAATTTTAGTTATTTTTTTTTAATAAAACATAATATCAATAGATAGTTAAAAATTTAAACATTAAATATTTTTTATTTAATATTACATATTTTGAAAAAAAACTTATTTGAATATTAATTAAGTAATTAATACAATTGACAAAAAAATTATACCTTTATTATACAGTATATATATTACTGTATTATATCTATTAAAATAAAAATATTTTCAACACATTTTCAATTTTCAAGGTTTCAAGTGTTATATAAATATATAAAACATATTTATATATACAGTAAGTAATAACACATAGACTTACTAATACATACACACAATATATACATAATTACACCCATTTTGTGTAACCCTATATATATAATATATACTAATATATATATATATATATATATATATATATATACTGTATATCATATATATATATATCAATATATCAGTAGTTTTCAAAAATAGACTACTATTTATTTTTTCACACAAAAATTTTTTTTTAAAAATAATATAAATACTAGAAAAATTTTAAGTGTAATTAAGTGTATATGTTATGATAATTTATTTCATATATTAATTACCAAGGTCTATCACGTAGACATAAAGTACTGTACATAATATATATATATATATATATATATATATATGATGTACTATACGATAGTTATATAACTGCAATATACTGTATATATATACAGTATATATTTATTTTAAAAAAATAATTTTTGTTAAGATTTTTTTTTAACAACTATATAACAAATATAACATTATTTTGTTTAAAAAATAAATATTAATAGAAATTCAGTTTTTAAAAATTTATTTTTCACTTTATCTTAATTTGTTATTATTAAAAATTATTATTATATTAATCAAAATAAATAATTAATTTACTTAAAAATATATTATTTAACTTATATTTTTTCTAATAGTAGTATTCAACAATGATATATCAATAATATAAGAAAAAAATAAATAGTTTTATATAAAAAAAAAATTTAAAAAAAACTAATTTTAAATAAAAAAAATTAATTAATCATATATCAAATTAATTTTTTTTCATAATTAAATAATTGTATAATTTATTATTGTTGTTGAAAATAATAAAAAAAACAAAAATTATAAACTAATAGATAGCACTAAAAAAAATAATAAAAAGTTATATAATAAAACATATTATTTAAAATATTATTTATTTAAATATTACTATAAATAATAAAATTTATTTAGTTTTCTTATTTTTTATCTTGATCATTTTTTTATTATTTGTTGGGTTCGGGATTGGGTTCGGGATTGGTTTCTGGATTGGGTTCGGGATTGGGTTCGGGATTGGTTTCGGGATTGGTTTCTGGATTGGGTTCGGGATTGGGTTCGGGATTGGTTTCTGGATTGGGTTCTGGATTGGGTTCGGGATTGGTTTCTGGATTGGGTTCTGGATTGGGTTCGGGATTGGGTTCGGGATTGGGTTCGGGATTGGATTGGTTTCTGGATTGGGTTCGGGATTGGGTTCGGGATTGGKTTCKGGATTGGGTTCGGGATTGGGTTCGGGATTGGGTTCGGGATTGGGTTCGGGATTGGGTTCGGGATTGGATTCGGGATTGGGAACCGTATAGACAATAGGATTAACGAATTCCAATTGAAAATTCTTCACTGATTCTAGTTGTTGCGAATTGTTGGCCAATTTTCCATCGATGGTCGTATCTATGACCACTATGACCACCCGGAGCYKTAGTAGGTCGGGTACTKGTAGTAGTACTGTTATCATAGATTAGCCGTCTATGATAGTGATTATATGGCCGGCATCGTCACCGGGTAAACCTGTTTATATAYATTATTTAAAAAAAACAAACAAACAAAATAATTACAAATATTAAGAAACATCTATAATTAGAAATTTAAAAAAATATTTATAATAAATTAATTATTTAAATTATATATATATATATATTATTAAAGTATTAGTAAGCAGTTAGCAATAGTTAAGTAGTTAGCAATAATAATATTATATTATTTTTTAATAAATAGTTAATAACTTAAAATAAAATTTAAAATTCATTTAAAATTAATAAAWCAATTATCTGTAATAGTTTAGTTGATTTTATAAACTAAAAATAATTTTAATAATAATTGTGTTTTTTAGTAAATTTGAATTTATATTTTATTTCACAAATATTTATATTGAATACTAATATAGTTATAATAATTTTATTTTATTACATTATTAAATTTTTAAAAAAAATTGTTTAAAAATACTATAATAAAATTTATTTATTTTTTAAAAATATTTAAAACACATATTTAGTAATTTTATTTTTTTTTAGTAAAACAAATATCAATACTAAATACTAAATAATTTACATATTAAATATTGTTTGTTGTTTATTTAACATATGGTATATATTTTTAAAAAAGGTGAATATTAATTAAGTAATAAATAGAAAATTGACAAAAATTATACCTAAATTTTATATTAATTTATTATTATCTATTAAAATAAAATAATTTCAAAATTTTCAATGTTTATTATAAATAAATATATATATATATATATAACATGTAAACATACACACAATATACTTAATTACACCTATTTATGTAACCATATATAAAATATATAATATTATATGATATATATTATCAATATAATATATATATATATATATATATATTAAAAACAAACAAAAATAAATGTTTTATAATATACAGTAGAAACACTTTGATATTTTTGTTTTGTTCAAAAATTATTTTATAATTAAATATATATACTGTATATATACTATATAACTATATAATAAATCTGATAAATAAATAATATTAAATTTTTAACATGTAAGTTAAAAGCAACAAAAAAATTTTGTTTATAAAATTGATTATTTTTAATGAAATAATTTTTATTTAAACTTATATATTTTATTTTTTAAAAATAATAATTTTAATAAAAGTATATAAAAGTGTGAATTATGTTTATACTGTAAATATATATATATATATATATATATAGTGTAATGTAGTTATATAACTATATGATATACGGTATATAGTATAAGTAGTATATATTTATTTTTAAAAAATAATTTTTGCATTTTAGTTATTATTTTTTTTCATCAACAACTATATAACAAATATAACTTTGATATAACAATAACAAAAAAATAGTTGACAATAATCGTTGCAATTATATATATATATATATATATATATATATATATATATATATATATATAATATTCAAATATTTTATTTAATAGTTATAAAACTAAAAATAATATATTTAATATATTCTATTGAAAAATCATTTATTTGCACAAATAATTGCAATAAAATTTCTATTAAAACATTACTGTTTTATTTAATACTGTATAATAGTATGTTATATTTAACAGTTATATTACTGTATATATGTAATAGTGATATAACTGGTTATAGAAATAAATTTTTTAAAAAAAATAAATATTTTTCTACAATTATAAAATATTTATATTATATAATAAATTATATAAAAAATAAATAAATAAAATTAACTACTGCTAAATTGGTGATTTTAATTATCAAAAACAAAATAAACAATATAAACTAATTATTATTATTATTAATGATATATTTATGAAAATAAAGTTAATATATATATATATATAAAGTATATAAAGTTTATTAATATCAATAAAAATTTATTAAACGATAATTTATTTATTAAAAAAAAAATTAATTATTATTTAAAAAAATATTGTCATTTTTATTCAAATCAAAATTAGTAATCAAATTAATTATTAATTATTAATCTTCAGTTTTAATACAACTGTTTGCTGGTGAGGACACAGCCGAGGAAAGCCGTTCAAACTCAACGATTAGTTCGCATCGATTGGTGTGCGGAAACATATCCACTGGTATGGCCACTACCGGTACAAACGGCTGTCCTCTGTACGACTTGGATGTTGGCCGACACAGACTATACATACAAATAATAACAATCAAAAAATTATAGTTAATATTAGTTAATAATAATAATAGTTAATAATAATCATTACTAAACTCTATAAGATTTTTGATGGCTTTTTGCGGATCGCACGACACGTACACCAATTTCCTGACCAATTGATTGCCGCGCAAACACTTGACTATTGAATTATCTGTTAATAAAATAAATAAACGAAACAAACAAAAAACTAGTGATTAGACTACAGGTGCTCAACAATATAAACAATACTATACTAACTGAGTCCAGCCCGGGGCGGATCGACTACGGCAACGATATCCGATTCACTAGTGGTGGACAACTGTCCCATTACTTGCGTCAAACGATCCTCGGCTTTACCGACAGTAAACTCGCAGTTTTCGATACGGTTTTGTCGGGCATTGAAACAGGCGTCCCGAACGGCATCGGCATTCAATTCAATACCGTAGACATGTTTAACTCGATCGGCCAAACACAGGCCAATAGTACCCGTACCGCAACATATGTCCAATAGTGTAGTAGTAGTAGTAGTGGTGGACTCATTGCCGGTACCGCCGCTGCTGACCAGTTGGCCAATCGATTGATAGCATAGTTCGGCAGCGGATGTATTGATCTGAAAGAAGGCTAACGGACTGATACGGAACTCTAGCGATCGATCCGCGGATATATTGATAGTTTCGCTAATGGTTTCCGTACCGTACAAATGCTGCAGATTAGTGGCCAACGTATGGCCGTGACGTTCGGCCGATATACTCAAGTACAGTGAAGTTACCCGAAACTCGTTGACGTTATCTTCGAAAAACTTGACGATACCTTGTTTTTCGGCATTAATCTCATCCGCGGTCATCGATTGCGGATGTATGGCCAGTATGACCATCGACTGGCCCGAACGTACAGTACGTATAGTCGCTTGAATCCAATAGCCGTCGTGTGTTTCGGGATTAAAACCGGCCAATTGACTGACATCGCGTACATACCGCTGGACACCAGTCAAAGCCCGACGCATATCCTGGCCAACTATTGGACAGTCGGCTGGCGGTGCAACCACTTTTAGACAGCCGTCCCGATAGAGACCTAACCGGAAACCAACTGTTTTATCCAAACCGACAGTAAATTCGCATTTATTTCGATAGCCATCCACTCGATCGCTGACCGAACGTATCGATTCCAGTGGACAACACCGGGTTTCCGGACATTTCAGACGCATTTCGGCCAACCAACTGACCAATTGTTGTCTATCGACGGACTGGGAGTCACTTTGGTCGACAATTTTCGATAGCTGTCGGCTATAGGATTGCAGAAACTCGACTAATAGGCGACGTTTTTCGGCTAACTGTTCAGCGTATGGCAATCGCCACAAACTGGCCACTTGTGTATTGAGTGTTTCGGCCAACTGTTCAGCGGTTAGTTCAGCCACTGGTTGTTGATGTTGTTGTCGTCCATTACTATCGGCGGCTGTACTGTTGTCAGTAGTGGTCGCCAATCGCTTATTATTATTATTGTTGTTATTATTATTATTATTACGTTTGCTGACCAACGGGTCGGGTACCGGATTGGCCGGTTTTACCGACAATCGCTGACCTTTCCATTCGTGTCCGTCGAGTTCGRCCAATGCCTTGTCTCGATCGGCATCGCATCGAAACGTTACGAAAGCGTGTGTCCATTGGCCGCGTACGCGGCCACCGATCAGCTTGAGTTTCAACGGTTTGAGTCCCAGTTTTGACATCAGTTTCTTCAGCAACTGTCGGATCGGGAAGAGAGAGAGAGAGAGAGAGAGAGAGAATAGTTAGTCATGTATTTTGGTGGACACCGGGAGGTCATGTAATGACTGATTGATTGACTGACTGACCGGATATGAGATATGTTTTGGCAAATATCTGATCTCAATCTTAAACGTTTCGGACGTAAACTCTGACCGTCGGGTATAGCTTAAGGCATCGTCAGCTCCGTTATTACCGTCGGCGGGGACAGTGACTGATGTATTGTTGACCACCACAGGTTCGGACGGTAGTGTCGGCTTTAAGTCAGTCATCGGCGGCTGATTTGTGTCAGTCATCGGCGGCTGATTTGTGTCAGTCATCGGCTGAAGCTTTATGTCAGTCATCGGCGGCTGTTTTATGTCTATCGGCGGCTGATTTGTGTCAATCGGCAGCGGCTTTAAGTCTATCGGCGGCTGATTTGTGTCAATCGGCAGCGGTTTTATGTCCATCGGCAGCGGTTTTATGTCCATCGGCAGCGGTTTTATGTCCATCGGCAGCGGTTTTATGTCCATCGGCGGCTGATTTGTGTCAATCGGCGGCAGATTTGTGTCCATCGGCGGCGGTGTTGTGTCCATCGGTGTTGACGACATCACTGGTTGGTGTAGTAGTAGTAGTAGTAGTAGATGTATGTCCTCTCGTCCTCTAAACTACCGGTGCTTTTGGTATTAAAAAAAAACTTTTATAACTAAATAATAGTATTATTTGTATTACTATTACATGTATTAGTGTTGTGTTGTTGTTGTCATTCAATACAATACAACACGTGTTGTATTGTATTGAATATACAGTCCTTATGATCTATCGAAAACTCGGGCCCTTTTTATATATATTACATATGTTTTTTGTGTAACTATATCTCTATTAAATAATTATATAATTACATAAATGATGTCGCATTTTTTTAAACAACTCATGACAATATGGTATCTTTTATAATTACCAAATGTAGCACAAAAAACATAAGTAATATAAATAAAAAAGTACCGAGTTTGTTCTGAAAATGTTTAGTGTACTGTACAGTAGTATAGCATAGCATAGCGTTCGACAACATTATTATTATTGGGAGGAAAAAAATAGTTGTATAGAAAATTCCCGATTAAACTAATATATTCCCCAAACAAAAAAAATAATATAAATATCAGTTAAATTTAAAATTAAAATTACAAATTACAAGAAAATAACTAAAAAAAAATTAGGAAATTTTTTAGAAAATATTAAAAGTTTTTTTTTAGTAAAACAATAAGTGAGGAATGTTTTCAATAAATGGGAAGTTATATACAATATATACGTATATAGTATTATTAAAACTAAAATATTGGTATAGTTTTGTTATACAAAACTAATCAGACTTCTAGTATATAGTCAAACAATAATATGAAATTGAATTATTATTTTATAAAAATAATAAAACATTTATTTAGTTTTACAATGTATATTTGTGTTACCCCTACCCCCTATGTGTACTACTATCATGTATAACACTTGCTAGTATTAATTGAATAATTATATACTGTATATATGATAGACATAATGTAATAAACCATTAGATGATAGTATAGACCTCTAGTTTCAATGCAATTAAGTTTTTATTTTATTTTATTTATTTTGGGTATAAATTATATACAGATATACTGTAAAACTATTGCTTAAATTTAAATTATTAAAAATTATATTATAATACAGTATATACTATTTATTTAATTAATTAAAATTATTAAAAAATATTATTTATTTATTTTTAAAAAATAGTTATAATAATTTTTCTAATTACTAATATATAATAAATACTTATTGATAATAATAATTATTTTTTTATTTATTTATTTATTAATAAATACATGTATGAAAAGTGTCATTAAACTTTATGGTAAACTATTATATATATATATATATATATATATATATACTGTATATAATAGTTTTTCATACATATTATATTATATAATTGGTACTAATTATTATTATTATATATATTTATTTATTTATAATTATTTTAATTTTACTCTACAATACATTTTTTTGTAAAAACTTTTTTACTTATAAAATATAAGTTAATAATTAATTAATTAAATATATAATTGTTTTTTAAAAAGTGAAATTAAAAACCTAAAAATGTAATTTAAAAAATTATAAAATAAAAACTTTTTTTTATTTTTATGAAACACTGGCCATAGAGTAATGACATTAATACATATGTTTATAACCAAACAAACAAAAAAAACAATTAGATATTTCTAGAAATTAAATATATTTAATATAAAAGTTATAATAATTTTTATAGTTTATATTGATTTCCAGGAAGTTATATACAGTATAAATATTTATATATATATTAACAATTAATAATAGATTTATTTATTTAAAAAAAAACATTACCATAATTATAGATATATATTGCAAATCACATATTAGTTATATATATATATATATATTTTGACAATTTTTGCATAAACTATAAATGTCAATGAATTTAATTTTTATTTTAAAAATTACAATTAAATGATTTTTTTAAAAAATGTTTGTTTTTGTTTTTTTTTAAAAATTACTTTTATTTAATTATATAAATAAATGATAAAATAAAAAATCATTATTACTATTATTATTATTGTAATCATTTATTAAATAACTTTTAAGTGCATCAATAATAATAATTATACAATAATCATTTAAATAATAATAATAATAAATATAAATTATTTGTTTGCACAACACTAGTACTACTACTACTATAAATAAAAAATAAATTTTTTAATAATTTATTTTTTTCATAAGTGTTTTATTATTAATAGTTATCATTCAATAAACAATTTTTTTGTTAAACAATTTTCAAAATGAAAATTTTTACTAATAATAACAATAATAATTATTTGCTAAATAAAATGTCTAAATATTTAATTAAAATAACACTAATTATTTGGATATTATTATCAATACAATCTACTAATAATAATAATAATAATTTAATTTTAGCWGCATCAGTTACAAGTAAGTTTAATTAATTTTTTGAAAATTAATTTTTTAATTTTTTACAAATAATTTTTAAATATTAAAAAATTATTGTTATTTTTAATTTTAATTAATTAATTTTATTTTATATATTTAATTAATTAGATTGTCTACCAAACGGTTCAAAATGTTTGGTACCTATTTTCCACTCGTGTTGTAATTCATGCAAATGGAGTAAAGCTCAGGGATTTCATTGTGTGGACACAACTTTCCTCTAAGAGGGTAATACATCCCAACAAAAATTAAATAAAATATAACAAACCATTAAATCATATACCTATATAATCCATAAAATTATTTACTTAATAACTATAACTTAATGTAAGTTTTTAAAAATTACAGTTTATTTTTATTTTTTTGATTATCATATGATTTATTATTATTAGAATAATAATAATAATTATTATATTTATTATTATTTAAATTACAATGATGATTATTTTTTGTGTGTATTTATTAATTTATTTTTTTTTATTTAAAGTATATGATTTTTTTGTGTTATTGATTGTACACCTAAATAAATAATATAATTATTAACTATAATAATATTTACTTTTTTAAAAAATAGAAATATAACTTATATTATTAAACTACTAAATAATGTCTAATAAATAATTATATTTATTATATTTATCTGTTAATAAAAATTTTGATTTGTAATAATGTTTTTATTTCAATGGAAAAATTATTTTTAATAATTAATGCGAAATATTTTTATTAAATTATTTAAAAAATATAATATATTTGTCGCCAAGTTTTATAAATATAATATAATAAAAATTGAATACAATATAATCTCTATATATATTTGTAACTATTTGATTAGGAAATGCAATAAATTTAAATAATAATAATAATAATAAATTTAACAACAAATAACTTAAATGTAATAATATATATGTAAAACATTTTTATTAATTTAATAATAAATTGGTTTATTTATTGCTGATATATCTTATGATTATATATTTTTTATATATAATTGAAATAAATTACAGTTTATTTATGTTATAATCAAATATTTATTTTATTTTATTTTTTGTCAAAACATATTCAATATTTTCATGTAAAAAAATTTTTATGTAGTGATAAAATAAAAATTAATATAATTATCTAATGTTTTCAATGTGTTTATATATATATATATTGATAGATTTATAAGTTACACAAAAATTGGGAAATATTACTAATAATTAAATTAAATAAAAAAAATTTTAATGTAAACAATAAAAATTATTTCTACAGTATTAGTTAATAAAAAATTATTTATTTTTTGAAATTAAAAAATAAATAATATTTTCAAAAAATATATTATTAAATGTATTTAACGTATTAAATGTTTAGTAAATAATTAAATTATTGATTAAAATATGAAATTCAATAGTATCAAGGTAATATTAAATTATAATGTTATTAATATCTTAAAAGAAAAAATTGAAAAGTTTTAATAAATATAAATTAAAATCAAGTTTTAATTAATTAATTAATTAATTTTCAAAAAAATTAAGTTATGGTGTCAACAAAATCTCTACTCCATATTGATTATCATCAGTGCTATTGTGGGACTAATATTCGGATTTATATTGAAGTCAACCGTCACCACAATCAGCCCACTGGCCCTTACCTACATAGGATTGCCGGGAAAGTTGATTATCCGGGCATTTATGATGATAATAGTGCCCCTAATTGTAACATCATTGGCCACTAGTATTGAAAACATTATTATTATTATTATTATTATAAATAATTAAATATATATTTTATTTTTTGAATAACAATTTTATTTTTTAGGTATAACTGCAACAAAACGTGGAGAAAATAAACGATTAATTTTATTAACATTTTTATTGATTGTATTGTTTGCCTCATCGATGGCTATATTGGGTTCAACACTGGTGTCTATTGTTAGGCCTGGAGGTGCTGGCAGTGATGGTAGTGGTGGTGGAGGACAGGTATTTGGTCGCCAATCACATGGAGAAGAAACAGTTGATATCAAACAAATGATTTCCAGTCAAGAGGACAGTATATACGATATATTTATGTAATTATTTATTTAATTAATTTTCTGAAAAATCAATAATTATTAATTAAAATTATTATTGTTATTATTATTATTATTAGTAGTAGTAGTGTTTTAAGTTAGAGAAACATAAAAAATTCAAAAAAAATTAATTTAAATACAATATAAAATTTAATAATTTTAAATATCAGTAATCAGTATTAGATATTTAATTCATTAAACTTTTTTTTACAAAAAAAAATTAATTAATTAAACTAAATGTTAAACTGATATTTAAATTATTTAATATATTTAATTAATTAATTGAGATATTTTAATTACTAAAATTTCTATTGGATTAATATATTTGGTTTAGTTTTTAAAAATATTTGTTATTTATAATTTTAATTTTTTGTTTAAAAATAATTAATTAATTAAAAAAAATAATTGGTGGGAATGCTGGATATCTATTATAATAAGTTTAATTATTTACATAAATAAATTATTTTTATTAAAAATATTATTTACAGTCTAAAACAAAAATAAAATTTCTATTATTTTTAATCATTATTTAATTAATATGATTAAATATATAGTTTTTTTGGTTAAAAAAATTAATCATTTAAAGTAATTAGCATAATATATTTAAAAATTTAATAAAATAATCCTAATAGAAAATATTATTAATTATTTGAAAATAAACAAAAAAAACATTTTTTTTAAATTAAAGATAAATTAATAATATTATTTTTAAATAATTACTAAATAAAAATAAATAAATAATTTTTAAGACGGATTACTATTATAATAGCAGTTTAATTATTTATATAAATAGATTAATTTTATTAAAAAAATATTATTTACGGTCTATAACAATAATGTAGATATTTATTGAAATTATTATTTAATTAATAGCATTAATTAGTTATATATATATATAAATAATACTAATTAACTAAAATTTTAAATAAATTAATAAACAACAAAAAAATAATTAATAATTTAAGTAATAAAAAAACAGTAATAATAATAATAATATTAATTAATTATAATCTCACTGTAGATAAACAATTAATTTAATTAATATATTTATCTAAATTTTATTTAATAATTTTTAATTAATTTATTTTAATTTATTTATTATATATCATTTTAACAGGAATCTCATACCCGATAACATAATCGGTGCCACATTTATGTCACATTACACGGCACTGGTACCCATCCAACCAAACAATCTGACTAAAGGCTATAGAAAACAAGCGGAACGGGCGTTCAAACCTAATATGTTAGGTCTGTGTATATTTTCATTGATACTGGGGTTTGCTTGTCTACATTTGGATAGTCGGGCACAGTTAGTCAGACAACTACTTGAAGAGGGAAATACAATAGTTATGGCTATTATGATGTTTTTTATTAAGTATATAAAAAATAATTTATTATTATTATTATTACCGTTATATTATTATTATTAATTATTATTATTATAGTATTTTTTTATTATTAGTATCAATTATTATTATAGTATTAGTATTAGTAGTACTAATTATTAGAATTATAGTAATAGTAATAATTAATTATAATTATAGTAATAGTAATAGTAATAATTAATTATAATTATAGTTATAGTATTATTATTATTATTATAGTATTATTATTATTATTATAGTATTATTATTATTATTATTATTATTATAGTATTATAGTATTATTATTATTAATTAATTAATTTCGACCAGAATTATGCCGATCGGTATGTTTTTCTGGATGTGCGCCGAAGCCATCAAAATGCAATCACCGGAAGCCATAATCGTACAGTTGGGTTGGTTTTTCGGACTGGCTATCTGTGCCTTTATGTCGGTCTGGTTACTGATAATACCCGGCCTGTATTTTCTGGTTGTCCGTAAAAATCCCTACATATTTATGATGAACATTATGCCGGCACTGGTAGTCGCTTTCGGATCCAGTTCCAGGTATATACAGTTTACAGTCTATTGTTAATAATAAACTTATTATTAATTATTGATGTTGTTTTTATCCTAACAACAGTGCCATTACATTGCCAGTTACTATGGACTGTATGATTGGTAAAAACCAACTGGCCAAACCGGTTGGCCAGTTTGTACTGCCATTGGGTATGACCATACATATGCCCGGGTCGGCCATGTATTATCCGATGGTTACATTGTTTGTCGCACAGATGCACGGCTTAGAGACAACAATGCATATGTTTATAACCGTATGGTATATATAAATATATATATATATATATAAACAAAATTAATTTAATAATAAATTTTTTAAAAATATATATTTTATTTTAATTTTTTTTATTATTTTAATTTTTAGTATATTTGCTGTAATACTGTCGATGGCATTACCGGGCGCACCGTCGGGCGGCTCATCCATTGTTAACTTTATAGCATTTTGCGCTATCATTGGCATCGATAACCCACTGGATGTGTTGGCCTATACTATATCGCTTGATTGGCTTATGTATGTGTCATAATAATCATATACCTTCAACAGTAATTTACAGTTTAATTTTTTTGATACTAATTATTATTATTATTATTATGATTAGGGAACGCCTACGTACACTAACCAATGTTATGGGCGATGCCTATCTATCGGCTATTATACAAAAATTATGTAACATTAAGACAGTAGTAGTAGTAGACGACAATAATACACATAATGTTATGGATGTTAATAACATTACCTACTACTACTACTACTACTACTACTACTAATACTACCGGTGCTGACGACTCGGGTATGATGGGTATGATATCGTTTAAACAAAAATTATCAAGCAAAGTTTAAATATAGTATCCAAAAAAAATATTTTATCAAATGTAGTTTAATTGAATTTATTTTATTTTTTTTTGTTATATAAAATTATTAGTATATAATTATGTGTATATTGCTAAAAAAATTAAATATTTATTTTATAATTTTTATATATTGTATGAAATTATTTATATATCTTTCATTAATTATGTTTTTAAGTTAGTCAATAAAATAAATTATAATTATAGATATATAATAATAAAACTGTAATAAATTATCTATTATAGTTTTATAGTATTATTAATAAATGTTTTAACAATAATTATATAGATCATTGATGAATTCAATTATTATTTAATTTAAATTAACTAAATTATAAAATAAAAATTATATTTTAATATTTTAATTTTATAAGTTATTAATAAAATTTTATCTAAACTATATAATAATTTTGAGACTATGATTAATTAAATTAAATATAAATATTAATGAGTTTAAAATAGTCAATAATTCAAAGTACCGAAAAAAATAAGATAACAAATAACTAATTAATAAATTTTATTTTAATAATTATTTTTAAATATTTAATATATTCATATATATAAACACTAGAAAATTTCCAATAATAATTAACAATAAAAAAATTATGAAATATTAAAAATATGAATTAAATTTATAAAATTTGTTAAATTAAAAATATTATGATTAAATTTTTGTGTTGCAAAATCATCTAATTATTAACTTACAGTTTATTTGTTTGTGTAAATGTTATTTAATATTTTATTGATAATTTTAAAATTAAAAATTGATATATTTATATAAATATATTATATCTTGAAAAAAGAAATAATTTTAATAATATTATTATTAATTTACAGTTAAGTTAGTTAAGTTTAAATAGAAAATTAATTATATAAAAAAATAAAACTCATTAAACTGTTAAAATTTAATTGAAAACTATTAATGTAATGCAAATAAATATTGTAAATATAAGACAGATAGAAAATAGTTTATATAGTTTTTAATAAATTTTATTTAATTAATTATAAAATAATTTAATTAAATAAAATTTAATAAAAACTATATAAATAAATACATTATATTTTTACTTAATAAATTTAATTTTGTAAACTAATAATTTTGAGAAATAGTAAAAAATTGTAATAAAAATAATAAATTAACTAAATTATAAATAATTATAAATATAATTGATATAAATTTTCTAATTTTAAACAAATTATTTTTATCAGTTTATTAGTTAAATTAAAAACAAATTACTTAAATAATATATCAAATTTATAATAAATAAATACTATGATTAATTAAATTATATATTATTAAATAATTGACTTTAATAGTATCGAAAAAAATATCAACTCATTAATAAATTTTATTTTAATAATTATTCAAATTATTTAATATATATATATAAACACTAGAAATAATAATTAATAACAGCAACAAAATTAATTAAAATATTAATTAAATTTATGAAAATTATTTTTAAATTATATATTAAATTTAAATTATATCCGTTAGCTGAATGTATAAAATTATATTTTGATAAATTAAAAATTTAATAATAATTTTTTTTTTGTTAACAAAGCAGTCTAATAATTATAAAATCTATTTATATATTAAATTGTTGTTATTATTATGAATATTATTAAATTACAGTTTATTATTATTATTATATAAAGTTATATATTATTAAGACATTGTTAAAGTATTAGTTTATTAATAAAAAAAATAGTTATAAATAATACATATATTTTTTTAAAACCCATTAATTTTTTATAAATTTATTATTAAAAATTAATTTTGCGGAAAATAAACTAGTATTTTAAAATTTGTTTCTATATTAATTTGTTTGTATAATTTATCAACTATTTTATTACAGTTTGAATAGTATTAGTTATTTTATTTTATTAATATATAAAATAATTTTTAAAAAAATAAGCTGTAACAATTTAATTCATTAATTTTAACATTATATATTTATAATTATTATTAATAAATCATAATAGATTAGATATGATTTATAGTAAATTTTTTTATTAATATAAATTATAACTAACGATTACTTAATTAAATTATAAATTTATTTATATATATATATATAAATTTTATATTGAATATAAAATATTTATGTAATTGAAATAAAATTATTATGTTTGTATTTTTACTGTAAGTTTTTCAAATATTGTTTATTTATTTTTATATATATATAAATTTTAAATTGAAATTTTAATTTTTTAAATAAAAATCTAATTATATTTAACTAATAATTTTTATATTAAATTCTTGATGAAAATAAAAATATTTTGACCATTTAATTACAATTATAATTCAAATATATTAATCATTAACTTTAATTATACATAATTTTTGAATTTAATTATTAATAACAAAATTAATTGGATATTTATGTTGTTTGTAATACTTTATACTATTGTTTTAAAAACATATATATATATATATGTATATATATATATATATATACAACATTAAAAATTAATTGACATATATAAGTTAATATATAAACTTTAACAATTTAATTAATATATTTTTAGTAATTTACATAATTAAAATACCCATTAAATTTCAAACTAGATTTCATATGCATATCATAAATAAATTTTAAAAAAATATTTTTATTAATATAAATTATAACTAATATTTAATAGAACTTATATATAATTGCAGTTAAATAGTAAATTAATAATAATTAATAAATAAACATAAAGTTATAAACTGTACAAATTAATTAATCAAATTTATAAATTAAATATAACATTAATTCAATATAAATTTGTTTAGTTAATAGTTGACAACCCTAATTACTTAATATTTTACATATTAAAAATTTATCGATTGTTTTATTAATTTTTTATAATTAAACATTTAATTTATATAAAACTGTAATATTTTAATTTATTTATTTTTCTAGTAAATATTATGTTTATTAAAAAATTTAATTTTTGGATAATGGCAATTAATAATATTGTTTATAAATTTATCAAATTATAGTTAATAAAAAATATATTATTTTAAAATTATTATAAAATCGAAAGTAAAACATAAATCAGTTATTTAACTAATAATTAATTTATTAACTGATTTGAATTTTTTATAATAAATATACTAAAAAATAATATAATATTAAATTTTATAAAAATAATTAAAATAAATAAATAATTATAAACTATAACATTTTAATTAATATAAATTATTAATACATATTTTATTAAATAAATTTTATATTTATAGGAAACATGCGTTCTACCATTAATTAATAATATATATATTTTTTTAAAAATAAATTTAATAATTATTTTTAAAAATAATAGGTAATATTATTGTATTAGTATAATAAAATATTTAATAAATAAATTTATTGTCTAAATATTGTAATTAAACAAAAATTAACAAATTTTTAATTAATTTTAAGTAATATATTGATAATAGACATAAAAATTAAATATTATTCAAAAAAATAATTTATATATTAGATTATAGGTGTATAATAATATCAATTATTTATAACAGTTTGTTATTATTTTTACTTTTATTAAATATTCATATTTTAATATAAAAATAAACGTAAAAATAAATGTCAAAAAAAACTGTTACATTTTAATCTATATATTAACAACTAATATATATATATATATATGTTAATTCAATTATCATCTAATAGTTTGCTAATCATTGATCCACAAATTAATTTTTATTAATTAATTTTTTAGTGATATTAATATATAAACTTTAAAATAGATATTTAATTATAACACTTAAATGTTTTCTCTCTCTCTCTCTCTCTCTCTCTCTCTCTCTCTCTCTCTCTCTCCTAAATTACATATAAATAATGAATATTTAAAATATAAAATAAAATAAAAATAAAAACTGCATATTAAATTAAGTTAAAATAAAATGTATATAAATATCCTATTATTAAAACATTATTGAAAAAATTAATTGACAAATATTATATTAAACTGTAACAATTAAATCTATTTATTTTAATAATACATATAATGTTAATTATAAAAACAAAATAATTAGATTTTCTCCTAATCAAACAATAATATATATATATATAGTTAAATATATTTTATTTTTTTTAATTATATACATTTAAAAACAATTTAATTTTAATATATTTATGTAATAATAAATATTACATAAAATGTTAATTCTAGTTATTGTTTGCTTAATTTAATTTAATATTTTATTGATAATTTTAAAATTTAATATATATATATATATATATATAAATATTGATTATATCTTGACAAAAATAATTTATGTAATAATAATTATTAATTTATAATTAAGTTAGGTTAGGTTTAAATCGAAAATTAATTATATAAAAAAAATAAAACTCATAAAATTGTAAAAATTTAATTGAAAACTATTAAAATAATATAAATAAATAATGTAATTATAACACAAATAGTTATTTGTTTTCTATAGTATTTTAATATTTTATTAAAATAACTTTATTATTTAAATTGTACATTATATTTACTTAACAAATTTAATTAATAAAAAATATATATAAAAAAGTTATAATAAATAATTTTTATTAAATTAACTAATTATTAATAAAATTAACAACAACAACAATAATAATAACAAAAATACATATATATATATTTAATATACTATATAACAATGTTTGGTTATATACAAAAAAATATATGCCAATAATAATAATACAATATATATATATAGACTTATTTAAAAATTTTAATTATTATCTATACTATTGTTTTTTTTATTAAAAAAAATAAAATTATTAAATATTCAAACTTTGCTTGATGATGATTTTTGATTTTGTTTTTACTGCTTAAACGATACCATATCTATGGTAACCATTAATGGTTGGTTAGCACCGGTAGTATTATCTATAGTATTATCCTTCATAGTATGATCGGTATTATTGTCATCGACTGTCTTAATGTTACATAATTTTTCTATAATAGCCGATAGATAGGCATCGGCCATAACATTGGTTACTGTACGTAGGCGTTCCCTAATCATAATAATCATAATAATAATAATTAGTAATTAAAAATATTAAACTGTAAATTACAGTGTTAAGGTATATGATTATTATGACACATACATAAGCCAATCAATCGATATAGTATAGGCCAACACATCCAGTGGGTTATCGATGCCAATGATAGCGCAAAATGCAATAAAGTTAACAATGGATGAGCCGCCCGACGGTGCGGCCGGAAATGCCATCGACATTATCACTGCAAATATACTGCAAATAGATATATATTATAGATATATATTATATATATATATACAGTATATATAGTTATATATATATATATTATAACATACAATACGGTTATAAACATATGCCATGTTATCTGCAAGCCGTGCATCTGTGCGACAAACAATGTAACCATCGGGTAATACATGGCCGGACCGGGCATATGTATGGTCATACCCAATGGCAGTACAAACTGGCCAACCGGTTTGGCCAGTTGGTTTTTACCAATCATACAGTCCATAGTAACTGGCAATGTAATGGCACTGATTTTTTTTATATATTTATATATATATAGATAAATATTAATATTATAATTATATTAATCAATAAGTTTTATTATAACAACACCTGTCGCATATATATACCTGGAACTGGATCCGAAAGCGACTACCAGTGCCGGCATAATGTTCATCATAAATATGTAAGGATTTTTCCGGACAACCAGGAAATACAGGCCGGGTATTATCAGTAACCAGACCGACATCAGGGCACAGATAGTCAGTCCGAAAAACCAGACCAACTGTACGATTATGGCTTCCGGTGATTGCATTTTGATGGCTTCGTCGCACATCCAGAAAAACATACCGATCGGCATAATTCTGGTCGAAATTAATTAATAATAATAATAATAATAAAAAATACTATAATAATAATAATAATAATTAGTATTAATAAAAATTAATAATAATAATAATAATAATTAATTATAATAATAATAATTAAAATAATAATAATAATAATTAAAAAAAATACTATAATAATTAATAATAATAATACAAATACTATAATAATAATAATAATAATAATAATAATAATAATATTAATTAATAATATTAATTAATAATAATAATTAATAATAATAATTAATAATAATAATTAATAATAATAATTATTATTAATAATAAAAAATACTAATAATAAAATACTAATAATAATAATAATAATAATACTATAATAATAATAATAATTATTAATTAATTATTTTATATACTTAATAAAAAACATCATAATAGCCATAATTATTGTATTAATTTCTTCAAGTAGTTGTCTAACTAACTGTGTCCGACTACTGTCCAAATGTAAGACAGCAAACCCGAGTATCAATGAAAATATACACAGACCTAACATATTAGGTTTGAACGCCCGTTCCTCTAGTTTTTTATAACCTTTAGTCAGATTGTTTGGTTGGATGGGTACCAGTGCCGTGTAATGTGACATAAATGTGGCGCCGATTATGTTATCGGGTATGAGATTCCTGTTAAATGATATATTTAATAAATAAATTATTAATAAAAATTAGATAAATATATTAATTATATTATATTATAGATTATAATTAATTAATATTATAATTATTACTGTTTTTTGATTAATTAAATTATTAATTGATTTTTTTTGTTTATTAATTTATTAAAAATTATTTTCTATTAGTATTATTTTTATAAACAATATATATTAAACTAATTAATGCTATAATAAATGTCTACATTATTGTTATAGACTGTTAATAATATTTTTGTTATAAAAATAATCTATTTATATAAATAATTAAACTATACTTATATTAGTTATCTGGATTATTTATTTATTATTTAAATATTATATAATTAATTTATTGTAATTTTTTCTTAAAAAATTGACCCAACATATTAATCTAGAAAAAATTATAATAATAATTAAAATATCTTAATTAATTAATTAATTAAATTATTTTTTATTTGTGATTTACTATTTAATTAATAATTAGTTAGATAAATATATATATATATATATATATATATATATATATAAATATATAAAGTAAAATTTTATACTCTTTCTAATTATAATAGTTACTATTTATAAAAAAAAATATTATAGTTATTAATAAATTAATTAATATTGACTTAAAAAATATAATTTATTACACTAATAAAAACCATCCATATAAATAAATTAAAATTAATTATTTTTAAGTATTTAATATTAATATATCATGTCTTAAATTTTAAGACTTAAAATATTAAATAAAATTAACTTACAAGTTAAAAATAATAACAAACTGTAATTAATTAATAGGATTACTTACACTTATTAATTAAAATAAAATCACAAATACAATTAGAAGTTATTGATTATATCCAATAGTAAATTATTATCAAATTAAAAAAAAAATTTTTTTTAAGTATATGTAAATTTAGTAGTTAATACAAATTGAAAAAAATAATTATTATTAAATTATAACTAAACAATTAAAAAAATTAATTTATGGATTAATTTTATTTTATGTAAAACTAATAATAATAATTTTTTATTGTTATAATACAATCATATAATACTAAATAAAATAATTAAATTTAATAAAAAATTAAGTAATAATTACATAAATATATCGTATATACTGTCCTCTTGACTGGAAATCATTTGTTTGATATCAACAATAGTTTTTTCGTCATTAGTTTGTCGGTTAAATCCCTGAGCACTAGCAGTGGATACCTGTCCACTGGTATCGATGGTGGTAACACCAGGTTTAACAATAGATACCAATATTATACCAAATATAGCCATCGATGAAGAAAACAATACAATCGACAAAAATGTTAACAAAATTAATCGTCTATTTTCTCCACGTTTTGTTGCAGTTATACCTTAAAAAAAAAATTGTTTTAAATTAAACAAAATTTTTGTTGAATATTAAATCAAATTTAATTATTTATTTATAATAATATTAATAATGTTTTTATATACTAGTGGCCAATGATGTTACAATTAGGGGCACTATTATCATCATAAATGCCCGGATAAGCAACTTTCCCGGCAGTCCTATGAATTTGAGGGCCAGTGGACTGATGGTGGTGGTGGTGACGGTTGACTTCAATATAAACCCGAATATTAGTCCCACAATAGCACTGATGATAATCAATAGGGAGTAGAGATTTTGTCGACACCAAACCTATGATCAAAAATATCAAAAACAAAAATAACTCATTAAATAAAATAATTTATTTTATTTTTAAATAATAGTTAAATAAACAATAATTACTTTTAAACTCTTAAATTTCATATTTAATTAATTAAAATATTTTTTAATATAGAAAATTTTATTAAAAAATTATTTACACATTATTAATAATTTTGATAATAATATTATATAGATATACAGTTTATTTATTTATTTTGTACACATCTATTGACAACAAAAAAATAAATATAATTTTAAAAAAATAAAAAAAATATTACATCAAATTATTTAATCAATTTTTATATTTTATAATTTTATTTTTTTTAAATAAAAAAAATACAGTAAATACTTTTATATGTCAATTTTAATCAAATCAAAAATCTTGACATACTAAATAATAATTTTAATAAAATGATAATAAATAAATTTAATCAACAAAATAATTTTTTTTTAAAAATGTTTATAAACATAATTATTTAGTTGATATTTATATCATATTATGATTTTATTTATTTATTCAATGTATTTACTAATTTTTGTTGAAAAATATTTAATTTTTTTATGTAATAATAATAATAATCAAATAAATAGTTTTTTTTATCTTAACTAATTTATAGTTATAATTTATATTAATAGTAAAAAAATAAATATAAATTATTGTTTATCCATCAAAAAATCTACAAAAAATTATATAATATATAAATAATTTAATTTCAACATTTTTATTTATATCAAACTTATTAAAACTATTTATTTATTTATTTTACAAATTTTTTAATTAGTAAATTGATTATTTTAAAAAATTTATTATATCAATTTTATTTTTTAATATTTAGTTAAATTTAGATTAGCTAGTACATTCTCTTAATAAAATAATTACTTAATATTATTATTAACTATTATTAACTAATACTGATTAAATTGTTACAGTTTTTTGTTTGTTTGTTTGTAATTTTATGTCTATTTATTTTATTTATAAAAACTATATTAAATATTTATTAAAAAAAACAAAAATATTAAAATGTTACAGATTTTATACAGTATTTATTTAAAATTTTAGATAATTAATAAATATAATAATAACTAATCTATGAATTATATTAACAATTTATAAAATATAAATAATTTATTTTTTTTAAATCATATATTATTGAAAAAAGTGAATTTTAATCTAAAAATAAATTGATAATAAATTTATATCAATTTAATAAAATGTTTTTTTAACTAACAAAATATATATTAATTATTATTTTTAGTTCAATAAACATATGTATAGTTTTATTAAGAAATATTATTTATAAATAACTTAAATTATTTAATTGTTATTTTACACATACACATACACATACACATATACATACACATACACATACACATACACATACACATACACATACACATACACATACACATACACATACACATACACATACACATACACATACACATACACATACACATACACATACACATACACATACACATACACATACACATACACATACACATACACATACACATACACATACACATACACATACACATACACATACACATACACATACACATACACATACACATACACATACACATACACATACACATACACATACACATACACATACACATACACATACACATACACATACACATACACATACACATACACATACACATACACATACACATACACATACACATACACATACACATACACATACACATACACATACACATACACATACACATACACATACACATACACATACACATACACATACACATATATAAAAATTTAAAATCCCGTAAATATTGACGTAAATAAGTTTATTTTAAAAAATTTAATTACAAACACACAAAAAAACTAAATGTTATATCACATCAAATTTTTATTAATATATTTATTTTTCTCAGTTAGTAAACAACTATTAGAAATATTTTTTATTTTTTTAAATTTTAATTAAACAAAAACAACAAAATATTTGTTAACAAAAAAAATTATACAGTATATTATTTATATATTATATGTATTTTAACTGTAAGTAACTATTCAAACATATTTAGCACTTTATTTTTAATTTTTTTATTATTATTATTATTTCTATTTTTTTTAATTTAAATTTAATTTAAAATATTAAAATTTTGTTATAAAAATTGTTTTTTACATTTAAATTAATTAGTTAACTGTATGAATATCTATCTAATGCATATATATACTGTATATTGTATATTTTATTTATCATGCTAATTTTTATTTATTTATTTAAAAGAAAATTTTTTTTTTTATTTATAGTCTAATACATTGCAAAAAACATATAGTTAATAATAATATCATGAAGCCGATGAGGATTATGATAATGCTAGCTATGATGATAATGATGAGCACCTGGATGTCGTCGTCTAACATTGATGTTTGTATGGCCGATACAGATACCTGTCCACCTGGCAATGAAGATTACTACTGTCCCAATAGTAAACCCAATTGCTATTGTCGAGACTATCAAAATCATCCAGATGATTGCGATTGTACCGATCATAGCAAATATGGTGAATCATCCAATGAATCCGATGATGATGATTGACAATAAAAAATATATATATATATATATACCCACACACCCACCCACCCACACACCTAACTGTCCCATATATAT